ATAAATAAGTATTCTCTTAAAGATTACTTTTATTTAAGTTTTAGGATTACTATATGAAAAAATTAAAATTTTTTGAATACATTAGATTGATATAAAGTGTACTTTTAAAATTATCAAAAAAAAAAAAATTTAACAACTTAAATAATTCAATAGTAGTATCTTTTTTATTAATATAAAATATTTTAAATTTGAATTATATAACATGTAGATAAGGTGAATTAAAAAAATAAAAAAAATTTACCTCTCATTATTTAACCCTAAATCAAAAGGAAAAAATCTAAAAAATTAATTTTAAATATAAAAAATAAATTAAAAACATCTTAATTATAAATAAATAAATAAATAAAACCAGATTACACTAATAAAAGCAATGTACACCGAAAAGACAGATATATAATCATTTTCCTTTTTATGTTTTTGTCTTGTCGTGCACAAGTTTTGTGCAAATCCATTTCTGGTCCTGCAATGAGTTGTGTTTGGTATGTCAAAATTGTCCCACCGTATCATTAAGTTGAGTTGAAGTAGAATAGTTGACTAGTTTTATGACACATGAGAGACTAATTTTATGACACATGAGAAGGCATACACCTATCCCATTGTGAAAGTCCAATTCAAATTCAGCTAGTAAAGATTAGTTACCCATGGCATTAACCGCTTAAAATGCATATAATTTTATAATCACACTGTTTTATAATATAACTTGACATCAAATAAATAATATGAAGTAAATTAAAAAAAATAGACATTAGAGTAGAGATTCTCTAATATGAAAATTTTACGTATATATTATATTTATATAAAATTTTAATCATTCATCTTTTTATTTATAATAATTGAATTTTTTTATTTTTATCATATTGATTAAACATAATTATTTTTTTATTGAAAAAGTTACGATAAATTTTAACCATTAAAGATAAAATGATGAATAATTAAGATTTTATATAAATATGATATGTTAAATTTGTATATAAATAGATCTTGCTCTAAATACTAATAACTTAGAAGTGATATTAAAAAATAATAAATAATTAAAAATTATCATGATAGAATTATAACAAAAAATTATTTTATAATTTGAATTGTATCAAATTGTAAAATAATTATTCTTTGATGGAAAGAGAATCTTGATATTGACATTAAGCCCTCTTTTTCTGTGTAAAATAATTACCCATAAATTAGAAAAGAGTATTTAATATTGAACTTTCTTTCCTCATTTAAAAATTTATAATGGCCCTTTGCTGCCATCACCACAATGTACTTTGCAATGACCCTTTGCTGCCATATGTTTCCTAACAGCTTCCAAACTGCTGAAGGGATGACAAAGATCATTGCAATATAGACACATGAAATCCCTCTTGACCTAAGAAAAAGAAGCACACATCAGAAAATGAAACAACAAATGCCATTGAAAAGTATAAAAAGGATTCATCAAATAAACGTACACAACATATAATTCGTACCTTAAGGCCCAGATAAGTTTGTAAGCCTCCTGGATCTTTAAATACTCCACATCGGGAATAAAGAATTCATGTTGCTTATGCATGTGAATCATGCAGTTTTCTATGCTATCATGCTCTACATCACACATAAAACAACATGATGGATCCAATTCCCCCTCCTCATCTTCACTGTCTTCCTCTCACCATTAGTATCCATATTATTGCTGGAGGCAGACTCATCTACATTCAATGCAGTCAAGGACTTGGAAGCCACCTCAACCAATTCTTCTTCAGGATCAACCTCCTCCCACTCATCTTCACTTTCCTCACTTTCGTCACCGATTGCCTCCCTGCTTGCAGTAGGCTTATTCACAACACGACCAGGAAGGGGCTTAACCATTACCTTCTCCTCTTTAGACTGATTAGTTCCTTGAGAACCCCTCATGATATGATGGCTCCGTGATTTGAGATGTTGATCATAAGCCTGGGAACTCCGATACTCCTTTCCACAACTATAAAGCATAGCAGTTTCATTCTGCTTATTTTTCTCGAGTAAGTGAAGATTGCCTAGCAAGAAACAGAGCTTCAGTGACTCCAGGAACCCCAGTTACCTATTTTCTCCTAAATAAATAAGACCGTCCCAAATTATTCAAGCTGATAAAAAAAACAAGGCAATTCACTTATGTATGTACCCAGAAAAATCAACTAAACATACATATAGGAAGAAGCCCTTACCCACATAGAAAACATGGTGAAAACTAAGATTCTTCATGACTAATTCAAAGATTCAACATCAACCCAGAAGAGGGAATCCATATTCCATACAATCATACACTGTATTGAAGAATCCAAAAATGAAGGAAAGTAAAGGAAGTACCTGTAACTGCACCAAACCGGAAGTCCTTCTTAAGTCCGTATCTGCACTCTGGATTAACCTGCAAAGCCCCGAGGTGGATCCTCGGGGTAGACACTC